ACGCTTTAGGAGCACCACCTGAGCGCCTTGTGATATAGGGACCAAGGGATGGATAAGTCATTATCCTCAAAATTTAAATATATTTTTCATTATAAAAGTCACAGAAGACTCTCATCTTTCTTTATATGCATGGAAAGAAAACTAAAGGAAAATGTACCAAAATGTTGAAAGTGATTATCTCTGATAGAATTTGGGGTGTGTGGAGAGAACAACTTTATGTCTTTCTATATCATCTGTTTCCTGGTGGTGCCTAACTTACTGGTGGAGAATTCATCTTTCTCAACATGACATTTACCTAATAATAATGTCAGAAACCAGAAACACAAGGAAATACAGCTTTTTTAAGTGTTTAGGGATGAAGTCTACTGATATTTTACATCAGAAAATTAAAGACATTTAGTGTCAAAAGGAATGAGAAGTTAAATAACTTTAGAATCTAGCAGGTTCAAAAAGGATTCTTTCCTTGTTTTTCTTTTTTGCTTTCCTCCCCCCATGTTTTGAGAACCATGAGTGTGTCTGTAGGCAGAGAAGAAGGAAGCCCTGAAAAAGCTGAAGGTACTTGCATTCAAGGATCTCAGTGAGAGTCCCAGACCCTGGATGAAGCGGGAGGGCAGGGATGATCCCAAAGTGCAGACAGAGCAGTAAGGGACAGAGTGAGGAGACACGAGCAAGGGTCCCCACTTCCTGTTGTGAAACTTGGTGTTCATCACGAGGCCACAGCTTTCTCAGACAGTCTTCAGTAATGTCTGAGAAGGCAGGAGTGAAACAGTGAGGAAATCCAGTTCTTCGTCTTCTCGTGTTTAAGAGAACTGTGGCTGGTTTTACCCAGTATTTCGTGCCTTGGAGGCCCAGCTCCCCTAAGAGATTTTGAGCAGGCTTATCATTCCTGGCCTTTGGATCTTCTTTTGGTATTCCATCTGTCATTCACGTAACCAAAGCCAGCTTCTCTCTCACAGTGGCTCCTTTGGAAATGGCCAAAAAGAAGTCAAATGCCAGCGAGAGAATGCTCAGAGAGGCTTTCTCAGAGTGCCCCATCCTCGATCTCAGGGAGCCATCTGTGCTGGAAATCTTCCCTTTGCCCCTTGCAGAACCAGTCTCCTCCTCTGCTGCTCTTCTTTGTGGGACAGCATCAGTGGCTCCTGGCACCCCACCTTCCACTCACTCACATCCCTCCACAAGGTGAGATTGGAGGGACAGAGGGAGGGGCCTGGTTCCCTGCCTCCCTCCTTGCTGAGTAGCCTTCCAAAAAAAAAAAAAAACCAAACTCACTGCCATTGAGTCAGATTCGACTCATAGACCACTCCTTGGGTTTCTGGGGCAGTATCACTACAGAAGTAGATTGCCCAGTCTTCCTTCTGAGGAGTGGCTGGTGGGTTTGAACTGTCAGCCTTCTGGTTACTTTAACTAGGCTTGTCCCTCCTCCAGTAGCTGGTGCTTCTGCAGGCTACTCTTTCCCTCTCTCTTCTCATTCAGTACTGAAGCAACTCCCTCCCCTGGCCTTCCTGGCCTTTGGCAGTTCCAGGGAGCTGCACTGTGTCTTGTGATTTCCCTTTACCCTGTAGAAAGGGGCTTTGTGCAGTTTAGTCCTCCTGCTAAACTCACCCAAGATTACTCAACACGAGTTGCCATCTATTTCCTGGTGATCCCTGACTTACTGGTAGAGAATTAACCTTTCTCAGTGTGACAATTACATAATAATAATAGTAATGTCAGAAACTAGAGACGCAAGGAAGTACAAAGCAACCGCTGCTGTGGAGTCAGATCCGACTCATATCGACCCCTCCTTGGGTTTCCAAGGCGGTATCACTACAGAAGTAGATTGCCCAACCTTCCGAGGAGTGGCTGGTGGGTTTGAACTGCCAGCCTTCTGGTTAGCAGTCAAATGCCTAGGCACTGCGCCACCAGAGCTCCTCAAGGAAGTACAGCTTTCTAAATACTTACTAAAGTGTTTAGAGATGAAATCTACTGATACTTTACATCAGAAAATTAATGGACAGATATGTGATAAACAAGGATAGTACAATGGTAATGGGAGCCTCTTTCCAAGGCCAGTAAAAGAGGGGCATGGCTCTCAGGAGGCCCTTTTCCTAGTCAAGATGGAGACATGAAGGTTGGGGCTTCCTCTGAAGGACACACGCCCCTTTTTGTGCTTGGCCTCCAGGTAGCTCCTTCTTTGTTACCTGCACAAGGTATTAAGCCCAGTCAGGGTGCAAAAGGGGCAAGGAGGCCTCATCTTCTGACCTTCTCTAACCCTACAAGAGGAGATAGAATCACCATCAGTAAGTAGCCCAAGACCTGTTCCTGTGAGGCCAGACATGCCGCCACCCTCCAGCCTTTTCACCAACTCTGACACCAACCGTTCCTCTTGCAGCACCCACCACCTCTCTGCTGGGTTCAATAATTCACTGCAATGGCCACACAGAACTCACAGATTATGGGGTTTATTAGGGAAGCAACAGGTTACAAGTCAAGTTCAGGAACACACTCAGTCTCTCAGCCAGCAGTCTCTCAGCCAGCCATCTCTCAGCCAACAGTCTCTCTTAGTCTCTCTCAGTAGCATGTCTCTTTCTCAGCAGTATGTGTCTCTCGCATCTCTCTCTCAGCAGCACGTCTCTCTCACATCTCTCAGCAGCACATCTTTCTCCACCAGCAGGCAGAGAGACTTCTGCCTCTAGGAGAGCTCCTTTTGAGCCTGGCAGAGTGGCCAAACTAACTAATTCCAACATCAGAATTCTGTACACCTGAGAGTGAGCGAACTTCCCAGAAAATTATTTTGTGCTGCTCCCAACAGAAATACCCTAGGTGGATAACTAGCAATCAGGAGCTACTCAGTTGCTCACGGCAAATTCCACCATGGAGTTTAAAAAAACTGGCTAGAAAAGCCATACTATGTAATTTACTGCACCACATGGGGGTAGGTGCCCAATGCTTGCTTTGGAGGGCTGAACTCAGCCAAAGCCTTCCTCCACCCAGTACAGTGAGCTGTGGTGTGGCAGTCCCCTCCCACTCCCCACCCCCCACCATGAGGAAAAGCCAGGAGGGCAGGGCCCTACTGCTTTGTTGACGGCTGTGCTTGTCACAACACTCAGAAAGTATTTGTGGAGTAAATTAAGTCTCACTAGGAATGCAATCTACTTCCATAGTAATACTGCCTCAGAAACCCAAGGAGGGGTCGCTATGAGTGAGGTCTGACTCGATGGCACATAACAACAGCAGGAATATGCCATGTCCAACATTATAAATGGGGCATTTTTCAAGACCACAGAAAAATCAGAAAGTGGTAATCGAGAGTGAACCTATTTATTGTGATTTTCAATCTAGGAACATATCACTATCTTCTATTGAATGTGTTTTAATTTCCCCCACACATTCTGCAGTACATCCCCCAGGGTGAGCCTTTATTGCCCCGCCTCTCCCCACAGCATGAGCTCTCCTTCTGAGAGCCTCTACCTCAGAAGTAAGCCCAGTCAATGATTGAACTGTGTGGTGAAGAGAAGGTGGGGGCCGCTGCATGTTTGACATACTGGTGAGGTACTCAGTGTGATGCTGAGCCTGCTATTTGCAGCTGGCCTGGCAGATCCCTCAGGTCAGGGCTGGAGGAAGGACTTCTCATGCAGAGGCCAGCCCTCCTCAAGGATATGTAGAAACGGCTTCTATGAAGACCCCTGCCAATAGACTTCATAATCTAATGACATTATGTAGTACCATTAGTTTATCTGCTTATTTTTATTATTATGTTGAAATGCCAACATCTTTTACAATGTATTCATGGAAGACAACTTCATTATTAATTCCAGTCACTAAGAGGAATTGATTTTTAGGGCGAGAGATGAGCTAACATCACTGAACTATGAGGAAGGGTAGGAAGCCCAGGATGAAGAACTTTCCTCTAGAGACTAGGTGGATGATCCAGTCTGTTGACCACATCGTATGTCAGCAAGAGGAGCATTGCTTCTCTGTAGAAGTAAAGACATATCTGTCATTTAAAAAAAAAAAAAAAAAACAGTTAAACAAGTGTATTTGTATGTTCTGTAAGAATGTCCAGGTATATAGTAGAGCTGACAAGAGACAAGGTTGTGGTGACTTCTTGACCATAGCCAGCTACCCAGAGGGAGTGAGTAGTTGGGCCAGTGGATCAGTGTCATGGTCCCAGGGAACATCAAGCTCAATTGGTGTAACATACTACACAAAAACATTATTCCACATCCTACTTTGGTGTGTAGCAACTGGGATCTTGAAAGCTTGCAAGTGGCCATCTAGATCCTCAGCCTATATGACCATGAGGCCAGAAGAACTAGATGGTACCCAGCTATTTCTGTCAACCATTTGGAGGGGGATCTATGTAGGAGATCCTGGATAGAGTGGGAGAACAATGTGCAACAAAACTCAAAATCATTAAAAAAAAAAAAATGGCGGGGGGACCAGGTTTGCTGGTCTGATAGAGCCTGACAGAACCACTGAGACTATGCCCCCTAGCTGCCTTTCAGGTCTGGAATCGAACCCATACCTGTGGCTTCTAGCCAAACAAAAGACAGGCATATGGGTTGAACATTTACATCAGGTAGATACACTCCTTGGAGAGATCAGTCTTGGGAAAACAGAAGGGCAGTGCACAGGGAGACTGCTCAGGGGGCAGGAGTGCATGGGAGGGAAGGACACAGGGAAGAGGTAACTATGGGGAGGAACTGGGAAGAGAGCTGTTACATTATGGGGAATTGCTATCAATATCATGAGACAAAGTGTGTATGAATTACTGTATGGAAAATGAATTTGCTCTGTAAACTTTCACCCAAATTATAATATATATATATAATATCCAAGAAAGCCCTAAAACACACACACAGAGTTAAGTCATGTTGAAGGGAATGCTGCATGTACCAAGCTTGGTACTGCCCTCTCTACACAGCCTGGCACGGAGCATCCTTGTCTGAAGTTTGATGTGACAGCAGGGAAATTAAACCTAGAACATTAGTGATGGAATATCATTCTTCTATTTTCAGTAAATATTCAAGATGTGATATTACAAGAAAATTTGGAAAAAGAAGATCAAATCCTGGTTTCCCTGGCAGGATTAAAACAAGTATGTGCATTGATACAACTCTTTCTTTGTGTCCCACAGGCCACTCATTTGATGCCTGCTGGGTAAGGGCACCCATGGAATACCCTGGTGTTAGAGCCGTTGTCCCCCTGCCTCTCATTCCCTCCCAGACAAAGCCCCTCCTAAATCTCTATCTCCTCTCACCCCCTACTCCTTTTAGCAACTGTGCCTGACTAGCTTGCAGCCCAGACTGGCTTTCCCTCTCTGCACTTACCCCTCCTCTCTTACCAAACCTCTTTGTTGTTCCTCACACGTAACTGCTGCAGCATGGCCCAGCGTTGTGTTCAGTCATTCAGCCCACAAATACAGGAATGTCCTGGAGCATAAGTCATAACCACTGCTACACCAGGCCTCAGACCCTCAAGGCCCCATTTACCTACCCCTTAAATGGGACATAAATGTCAATGAAAAATAGTATGCTGGGCCCAAATGTCTACCTGTGTTACTAACAGCTCCAGCTGGGGTAAAATTGTTTCAGTGGGGCTTGCTATACAAGTAAATGGTGCTTCTGCCTTAAAATAGCAGCTAAGGATGTGGCATTCATGTCTGACCTTGTGAGGACCTAACCATTAACACTCTTGAAACTGTCCTTGGTCATTGATAAGTGGCTTTGATAGAGTTGGCTTTCTTTTTGTTCCTTCTTTTTTATGGCAGTATCCATACTGTTGAAAGACTGGTGTATGACAACCCTAGCACAAATGCATTTGAGATTTAGCAATCATTTAAAAACAAACTCATTCATCTTTTTCATTTATTTTCTTTTTCTTTGAAAATAGATCAAAGACATTCTAAAAGGTTCCCTGCGTTTCAACCAGAGCCAGCTGGAGGCTGAGGAGAATGAGCAGATCACCATCGCCGATGACCACTACTGCTCCAGTCAGGGCCAGGGTGACCCGGGGCCCGGGGCCGCCAAGCAGGTACAGGGTACTGTTGTCACATTAACTCAGTGGGAGCATGTTCACACAAATTCTTCAGAGTTATGAATACTCAAACCCTTCTGAGGTTATTTCAAGGGACCATGTGTGAACTTCAACTGTGAGATACTATGAGGGGACCGAGCAAGGGCTGCTCCACACAGCTGTGCAGGTTGTACACTCCAGTGCCCTGAGGGGGTGCCATTCACAGTGAACGACAAGACCAGCCTCTACTAGACTATACAGTGCACTGCCTACACACCACTGTGTGGCAGCTTTGGCCTGTGCCTCCCCACAGCCACTCCCATTCTGCAGGTTGGAAAGCCAGATCTCTCTGCCTTAGTTATTGGCCAGTTGCATCCAGCTGATGCCTTCCATTCCCTTTTATCACAGGAAGTATCATCTGTGCCTTCCTCATGCTGTCTTGAGGGTATTTCATTTGGCTAGAACCTTTTTACCAAAATATTCATGGTGAAAGACTTCTTTTTAATGTCCATCCCCTAAGACAGAGGTCAGCTAACTTTTCTGTGAAGGGCCAGTTAATAAATATTTTCCACTTTGTATACCACGGACAGTCTCTGTCACATATCCTTCTATGTTTGTTTTTATAATATTTAAAAACCGTCAAAACCATTCCCAACTTTAGGGTCATACAAAAACAGGCCACAGGCCAGATGTGGCCTACGGGCCTTAGTTTGCTGACCCCTGCGCTGAGATATTGATATTGTGTATAATTTACATAGAATCACAGAATTTTCCAGCAACCGAGGATCTAAGCGAGTGTGCTCAGTCTTATCTGCTCCATCTGCCTATAAAACTACAGTCAGAGAGGTGCATGGGTTTGCCATGCAGAGTGCCCAGCTAGCCAGCCATTATTTCCAGAACCACCTGCCCCAACCACTAAGTAAGCTTCCAAGTCTACCGTACTACCTCTCTGTTTTTATCTGATAAGACTAAAATACTGTTTCCATTTCATTCTTAATGATACTAAAAATAAAATCAGCTTACACAGTTTCACCTTGAAAAATGAATATTAGCTAAATCTCATCCAAGTCATTTTCTCAAAAACCAGCCACCAGATCCTTATGCATTATTTATTTTTTTATGATTTTAAAACGGCAAAGTGACATGTTGGAATGAGTTGCTTTGTTTCTCCATTTTAAGGACACTGGTCAAGAAGAGAACCCTGGGTAATTTCATTCAGCTTGAAAAGGAAGCTTTTATGAAATGCTCTGAGTCTGCATTCTTGGCCACATGAGTGCAATATGGCATTGCAAGTTCCATGTGCTTGGTTCTTCCAAATTCTTTATCCTTTATTTTTTTGTTTATTATTTTTCAGAAATCATTTAGGTATTGGAATATTGTTGAGCACAGGCCTAACTACCAACCTTAGTCTCCATTTTATTTTTTAAAAAAACTTTTATCAGTTTATTGACACAATAACACAACACACTTGCTTCTCTGGCACCCCACCTCCACCCCCTCATCCAAACTAGATCTCTCCACCTTCATGCCTCCTTAGAACAAGCTGTTCAGTGAAAACAGAAAAAGGCAGACCACCTTTATACCCCCTTTCCTACCCCGAGGTCTTGTGGCACAGAGTCACAGGTACTACTCAGAACAAATTAGGGAGAGGAGACAGTTACCACTATACCCACCAGCCAGAGGCATCCAGTCCCTAAAAATAGGTTCCCCCATAGCCCCTAGGTCCTGAGTTATTATTCCTCCTCCTCACTGCTCTTAGTGACCTTAGGAAGGAGACTTTGGGACCTGGGCATACAGCCAAGAACGAGAACTCCTAGCGATGATTTGATAATTGGGATTTGGCTAGTGTTTTTAAGGCCGAGGCACCCCCCCAAAAAAGCCTTGATGGTGGGAGTAGACTTCAATGCCCCTATTTAAAAGGCATTGATAACATTAAACAGATTAAGCCAGCTTAATCAAATGCCAGAATAACACCAAGCTATAAAGGAGGAGGAGTCAGGTGTGCTTAGTCCAGGCCAGACACAAATGCACAAAGAGAAGTCCAGGTGGCTAGTCTCCATTTTTAATTAGTAGTCTTATGTAAACAGTGTATTTTTAATTAAATGTAAAATAACACTACAGAAAAAAATACTGATACTTTCCAAAATACTAATTAGTTTGCTAAGTTTAAAATTTCCTGATTATAGTTTACAATCACCATTTGTAGAACCTACTAGTTGCCACCACTGCCCCAGAGGACCCCATGTGCATACTCAAATGAGTTAGCTATGAGATTGGCACAAAGTGAAAGACACTAGGCCCTGGAGGCAGCAGGGCCCTGACTGCTACACAGGATCTCAGAGACCCTCCGGCTCTGCATGGATTTCTGCAACAGCCAGCCCTTCCTGGGCCCTCACCACTACCATCTTTGCTCTGTCTTCCTCTTAGGGTTAAAGAGGAAAGAGAAAACGGAAGAGCTTCTGTCTCTACCCAGTCCCTGATGTGGCCCCTTCCCCATAATTGTTAGCAGTTTTAAAAACAAAAACATAAAATGCCTGAAGAAGGTGGTTTTATCTGAGGAACGGAGAAATGGGCAGGCAGTACTCTCCTCTGTCCTTCAGGGGAGGAATGGCGAGAGTGGTCCCGGATGCAGGCCAGCAAGTCACACAGACAAGCCAAGCATCTGAGGCTTTCCGCTGCAAAGGCCAGAGATCTGGACGAGTCTGATAAGGGCCAGGGGTCTACCAGACAGGAAGTCTTGACCTACCTTCTTCCTGCAGGGATCTGTGTTCCAAGCCTTGAAGTGGCCATCAGGACTTAGAGCTAGCTGAGTTTTCTTTTTCACTGTTCATGGCAGGTGGGGGGCCTGTGGGCAGGCTAGAGCCAGGAATATGCATCCAAGTATACCAAGTGAGTTTTGAAGGCATTTTTACTCCTTCTTTTCAAATCACTTTGGTGCTTTGCCGGGCCTGGTGCTGTGCGTGTCCAGAGCTGTGAGATGAAGCTCCTGCCATAGGGAGCTCCCAATTATGGTGGGGGGGGGGCAGGGGGAGGCAGGCTTTTGTGACATTTTCTGGAGATATACTCCCCACGTGTTGGGTCTGTCAAAGGCCCCTTTGTGCCACAGTTCATTCCTAACTTAGGGGTGGATTGTCTTTGCTTTCTTGGTTAATTAGTCACAGATGTCTAAAGGACAGTTCAGAAGAACCAAGCTCACCTGCCATGGGGCAGATGGCTCATGGTCCTCCTGCCAGTGCCCTTTCCTATCAGGAACTTCTTCAAAGTCTTGCTAATGTCTTCACTGTAAGGTAAAGGAGAGTGGGTTAGCACCGTGACTGTATTAGACACCAGTCTAAGAATAGAATCCACCATACAGGCTCTTTTATTGCCAACCTGAGATAAGCTCTATCAAGTAGCATTCTAGTCCTGTCACCCTGTGCTGGTGTGAGAGTTGTAAGATGAAGCAAGCTAGGCCCTCGGAAAGCTGTCCTTTAAGCAAGTGGTGCAGTCAGCCTGGATCTGACACCTCACACTGAGGATTCCTGTGCACGCACATCATGCACAGAATCCTAACCTCACACCCGGGGAGAGGCAGTGTCATGATCCCTCTTTTACAAAGGGGAGAATGAAAGCTCAAGGAGGATGGGCAGTTTGCATGGCAGAGTCCCCTGTGTGGCGGGTAGGGAATCCACCCACAGCCCAGGCTTTCACACAGCCTCTTCAGGCAGCTCATCTCACCCTATATTCAGAGAAGCATTCCTCCTCAGAGGGGCTCAACAGGCCACTGCCCTGCACACTGGTGAGTGTAGGGACTTCAGGACAGCAGAGCCAAACACCACATCTGTCCAAGGCAGAGCATAAGGCAAAGTGGCCCCATTCTCCGTGGGGCGTCCCCAGCTCATAAGCCCTCCTAAATTTTGCCAGTTTCCTCTCACTCACCTGCCCTCCCATCTGTACTTCACAGATCTCCTCAGAAATGCCAGGGCACTCTGATGGAGGGAGTTCAGATGACTTCATCCTGGTCTCCAAAGAAGATGACAGTGGCAGTGGCAGTGCCAGGGGGAACTTCTCGGGCCAGGCCCAGCCTCTTCGCACCCTCAGAAGCACATCTAGGAAAAGTGAGGCTTTGGCCCGCTCCCCTCTTGTGTTCTCTGACCCCCTGATGGGCCCAGCCTCCGCTTCCTCCAGCAACCCAAGTTCCAGCCCTGATGATGACAGCAGCAACCACAGTAAGGACTCAGGCTTCACCATAGTGAGCCCCCTGGACATCTGACCGCGGTGTCCAGGCCTGGTGCCTGGCCCTGCCTTGCAGGGACCCAGCTGCCCCCTCGGGTCCCAAGGCCGGCTGAGACTCCCCCAGTGTGGATCCCTTTGAAACCAATGCTTCTTTCCCAGAATGCATTTGGCATTGGTGCAGCCCATTGGAACCCTAAGAGAAATCCAAATGAAGCCGATGTAGCCACAACACACAGACATATACACCAGAATTCAGACAGCCTCTCTGGGCCCTTCCTTACTTTCCCCCAGCCTACACTTACACTGAGTCACAGCCAGGTTAATACCCAGCTCACACTCACTGTCAGAGAAGACAAAGCCACAGCTACAGTCACTTCTCTGTTCTCTTTCACCAACTAAGAAGAAGAGTAATTAACTCCATTAGTTTTATTTACAAGGAGCAAGAGTTGGTTTCAAATCTCCCTTCTCTCAGAACATAGGACAGCTGGTAGATATCGAGAAAGTTTCCTCTCTGGAAATTTGTATCTCAGTCTACTTTGTTCCTAGAAAGCCCTATAGCAGAGCCGAATGCAACAGAATGAACTGGAACTAGTGGATTCCAAGGCTGGAGTATCCCGTTACTGACTCATCAGAAAGTTATAATGAACTTCAGAAACAGGGTCTAAACTTAAGAATCATATTTAGCTGTGAGGTCATATTACATTTGTTTGATTTGTTAAAGAATAAACCTTAGATAGATCATCACTATCCCTCCAGAAACAATGGTATTTTGCCTTTGAGAGTGTTTCACAGCCAGAAAACAAGGTCATTTTCAAGCCAATCTTTGCTGCACTGATTTCAGAAGTTGCTAGAATATTACTGTTCCTTCAGTTGGAAAATATGTGCCTGACTTTATGGAATGCACATCTTTCAGACATCAGTTTCCTGATAAAGTTCTCTAGTTTCAGGTCTGTGTCCATCTGTCAACTGAGGAGTAAAGGGGAAAAAGCTGAGCTCGTTCTCACCCAGATGCAGAATGCTTGGAGGCCTTAAGGAAGCCATCATGGGGAATCAGACCTGGGGTCCCTTCTGGGAGTAGGGCTTCTTGAAGCACATTTCAGATTTGGGAAGGTAGCAGGATTCTGCACAGCCCCTTCCCCGGCCAGGAGCCGAGTGCTCGGCCAGGATGGCATCTCAGGGCAGGAGTAGGTCTGCATGCCCTGACCTTTCTGGTCCTCAGTTGGCAGCTTAGGAAGCCAAGATGGGCACAGATGGGCCATTTCTCTCCTTTGCTTGGGCTGGAATTCTTATGGGAAGGGGTGGGACATGCTGTTAGACATAGCACACCATTTCACCAGCTTCGGCAAAGAGCAGCTTTGCCTGACTTGACTGTCTCCTTGGGCCTCTCCTCAGAGGATAGCAAGGCCTCTGGCAGTGGAAACCTTCATGGTAAGAAGTGAGAAGGATGAAGCAATAAGTGAAAAGTGTGAAGGGAAAGACGGTGTTTACATCGCTTCCACTGCTAAGCACGCATTTCCCTGTAGACAGATTTGATAATGACATGATTTCCCACTTGCTCTCCAAGAAAATGGTGACGAGTCGTGAGTCAGCTACTACAGAAAGGCTTCTAATTAGCCCTAGGATCGGTTCTGAAACTCTAGCAGGGAATCTGACACATCCAGTGTCAGGTGGGTGATAGCTTCGTTTTTGCCGAGGTAACAGGGTCATGGGTCCTCCACAGCTGCTCGACAGATGTGCTGAAGAAGCCTTCTGGCTCTTGACTCTAGTGGTCTCCTCAGCATCTCTGTGGGGCGAATCTCAGAGCAAGTTGCTGCCAAGTACATGTCCCTGGGACAGCACTCTCTAGGCTCCCAGTGTCCCCATACTGTGAGTGGCTTCGCAGCAGTTGCCATTAGTGACTTTCTCACAAATGACTTGTTTGTAAGGGTGGTGATGTTTTCAGTTCTGAGGTGCAAAGTGTGGTGCTGTCTCTGCCAGCTCTGGGATGGGAACTGAAAAGGGCCTCAGAGCTGGCCATTCCCCAGCAGCTACTGTCACCTGCTCACCTCCAGCTTTTCCTTTGCCTTGAAAGTGAGAGTCACAAGAGCTGAGTGTCACTGGCCACATAAGAGGCCACTGGGCCACCGCCAGGAACCTGAGCTGGTTCCCTCAGTTAACTGTGTGTTCAGCAGTCACTAGTTACTTGTTCCCGCCCTGCCTGCATGCTGGAGTGGGGCTGCTCCACTCTGCATCTGCCGCGGTGCCACGTGAGAGCCGATGGGCTCACTCAGAGGGGCAGCTCCTGTGGCCCCACAGACCTCTCATCCTCCAGGAAGAGAACGTTGAGGGGCTTGAGGCATGGCAGTGCAAACCCCCATTCCCACAGGTCCATAATGTTAGAGAATTAGATGACTGTCTTACCTTTTTTAAGTGACTTTTTTTATTCTTCATAGTTTTGCATTATTTGCCTTTTTATTAGTTATAGTGCCATTAAAGAATGTGTTCCTTTTTATTTTATCACGTACTTTTGTTTAATTGCACCTTTTTAAAATCCTGAATATATGAAATCCGTTTTGTTTTTCTCCAACAACTGTGGTAATCAGTGGAACCCTGCCATGGTTTGATTATTCACAGTGAAATACATTTTATATGAGTAAAATTTAGATTAGTTCTCATTGTCATCTTGCTTTTATATACATATACATGTCCCTCTGTGTTTCATGCATTCCTCTTTGATCAGATTTGAAAATTGAGTTAAAATTTATCTCTGTATGTTACGTATGAGAATTACAGACTAAGCAAAGAAAATAGTCATATTTACTTTGCCTTACCTTGTGTGTATGCCAAGGGTTTGTTTAACACTTTAAACATCTACTTATACTGGATAAATCTCCCAAAGATGACCTCCTTCTAATGTGCAGCACTAACTGCAATAAAGAAAAAATAATATCACTGAAGAATACCTGTGGCTTTAGAAATAAACCAGGGCCTCCCTGTGAGTTGCCTTCTTTTCACATGACTGAACGAACCTTGTACATCACAGCATCCAGGCTGTGCTAAGGAAGCTGTCGAGGTAAGGTGTGATTGCCCGCCCTCAGCAAGAACAAGATCAGCCCCTGCTTGTCAGATGCTGTCTCCCGGGGATACCCTGTTGGAGTTGACCCCAATTTATTATTTTTGCTTTTATGTTGTTGTTTCCCAAGAAAGTACCCCCACAACAAAAGTATATGAAGGGAGGACCACGTCCCCACAGTCTGTCCGTTGCCTCTACCCCTGTGTGACCAGAGCAGGGGTCTGGGGAGGCAAGGAGGGGCACACACGGTGACGGGGGTGGGATGTAGAGGATGGCAGCTGGCTCTCACAAGCCAGAGCCACTCTTGCAGTATTTCCTTCACAAGTTGTTTTTATAGTGTTAAAAAGAAATATCAAAGTGTAACATGAACTTTATGTAAAAGTTGCCATACAGTTTTTCGCATAATGGCACAGTTCATTTGCTTTAGTATACGCACTGCTCAGTTGTGCCATTTATAGCCTGTTGCTTTTCTTTTTCATCCATCTTTATGCTATAACTCATATTGACTTAAGAAATTATTTATCCTTTTGGCAACTGACCCCATTCAAAATGGTTATAATAAATGACTAATGTGAAACTGAGAATGTGGCCTGACTTGTTTCAGCCCGGGGTGGGGGTGGGGACCCAGGTGCTGTCCAAACCCAGCTGACGTGGGGTAGGGGCAAGACCACAGGGTGTGGGGGCTGGGAAAGCAGTTGTACCTCTATGGTCATCAGCGCACACTCTTAAGTCTTAAATGACAATGAAAGTAGCAAGGAAGGAGATCTTCCTAGTTTAGGTAGAGCCATGAAGCCAGCTCTGGTGGTGCAGTTGCCTAAGGCATTGACTACTAACCAGAAGTTTGGCAATTCAAACCCACTAGACACTCCTCAGGAGGAAGACAAGGCAATCTACTTCCGTAAAGATTCACCACCTTGGGAACCCAATGGTGGGGGAGGGTCACTATGAGTCGAAATTGGTGGTAGTAGATATGAAGCCAGCTAAACTCACTCATTGCCATTGAGTTGGATCCAGCTCATTAGCGACCCCTCCTTGGGTTTCTGAGGCAGTATCACTACAGAAGTAGGTTGCCCAATCTGCCTTCCGAGGAGCAGCTGGTGGGTTTGAACCACCAGCCTTCTGGTTACCAGTCAAATACCTTAGGCACTACGCCACCAGAGCTCCCGTGAAGCCAGCAACACCTTAGAATTTTGTGGTAGGCCTCCCCTCCTCCAGGAGATTTTATTAACCACAGGTCTTGTCATCAAAAGGTTCTAAGACCTCTTCTCAGATGTATTGAGCCATGAGGGTGACCGTGATTTCACAGACTAATGACAGTCATAACCACTGGCATTCCCCACTGGCCACTGGAAGCAGAGACCCTGTGGAGCGAACGCAGTTGATCCCTCACCCACATCCCTCAGCACGGCTGCAGTTTCCTCCAGCCTGGCTGCACCTGAAGCTGCTGGCTGCTCTGGTACAGGGAGTTACATCTAGGGCAACTCTACACGAAGGCCAGGAGAGACGGCATACTTCACCCGTGCATGGCCCTGAGGCGAGCCATCTCTGAGGGGTTTAGTCCAGTTGCTCTTCCTCCCCTGACTCACTTTCTACCCACTAGTGATGTTTCCTTTTCCCAAATAAATGACTTGCTCTGGAATCTTCTCTCAGAGTCTGTTTCTAAGGAACACAAACTGGCAGCTGGGCTTCTTGGAGCAGGAGTGTCCCAGGCTCACTTCTGCCTAGGGATGGCTGAGCAGGAGGAGGAGCAGGCTATCCCAGGTGGACCAGAGCCCTTGCAGATGAAGGGTGTGCAGAGAGGCACCTTCCCTGCCTCAGAATCAACAGAGGGACAATTTACAAGTCCAATCAAAGGGCAGGGGCCGACCTGCTGTATGTGAGTTCTTGCCCCCAAACCCCACATGTTGTCATCTCCATCCACAAGTGGATGTTAGCCATAGCTGATGATAGAGGCTGTACTGGCAGTTCCATTTTTATTTTGCAGT